GGTGAGCCGAGATCACTCCATTGCACCCCAGCCTGGGTGCCAAGAGCGAAACTCCATCTCAGAAAAATTTTCACTGACCTTAGCTAATGTTGCCTCTTAGAGGAGCTTAAAATGTCATCTTTTACAGGTATTTTCCCTTTGTTTTATTTTCAAATTTAAAACAATTCTTTAATTTTGTATTGAGAAGCCCCTGAATCAGAATAGGTTCAGAGAGCCCCCACTGCCATTGTTTGAAAGGAAGCTTCCTGCTTAGTATATACCTTCTAATACTTAAATGTGGGACTATAGCTTTGAATTAATAACATGCCTGTCTCTTTTGCTGCCACTTATATGGCTTGTTTTCTAAAACATTTTTAAAAGAAATCATCTTATTTTGAGAAATGTTTTATTTTATTTTTTATTTTTTTGAGATAGGGTCTTGCTCTGTCACCCAGGCTGGAATGCAGTGGTGCAATCTCGGCTCACTGCAGCCTCCACCTTCTGGGTTCAAGTGATTCTTCTGCTTCAGCCTCTTGAGTAGCTGGGATTATAGGCATGCAGCACCACATCTGGCTAATTTTTGTATTTTTAGTAGAGATGGGGTTTCACCATGTTGGCCAGGCTGGTCTTGAACTCTCAACCTAAGGTGATCTGCCCGCCTCAGCCTCCCAAAGTGCTGGGATTACAGATGTGAGCCACAGTGTCCAGCTTTATTTTGAAAAATCTTTTAATAATTGACAACAGAAATGATAATTTTTTATCATCCATTTCTAACAGTTGTCAGTCAACACTATTCCTGTGTCTGGATATAAAGATTATTCACCTTTATAAGATTTCCAAAACAAACTAGATGATATTTCTCAAAATTAAGAATTGTTTGGAATTTAGGTTTACAACTTAAACACAACCAAACCCACAAAACGGATGCATTCTAGCTAATACATTAAATTTAATGTGACAATTAATGTTTTGGCAAATGCAATTGCTATTCACAGTGTAAAGAGGATGTCCTTAGCAAGGACATGCATTCCTTTGGGTTTACTTGCCTATGTCACCAGCTTCCTCTATTCAAAAGATTGTAAACTCTTTATTTATATAGTATAGTATAAAGCCATTTGGCCTTCATTAGGCTCAGTACCCCCGCCACATTTTAGAGTATCCAGTACACACATGCACACACAAAAATTTGTTAAAGGACTGATGAGAACCTCTGTGCTTGGGATCTGGCATTTGACTCTGGCACAGAACAACCTGAAACCTTGAATGTCAGCTTCTGTGACTAACACCATTATACCCTGTGGGAAACACCTCTTGCCCCGTGTTCTTGAAAGAAAAGGCTGCTGGGTTGGACTGCTGTGAAGGTTTACGGGTTATGCCTCAGTTGAGGTCAGAAATGGACAGTGCATTTCAGTGCCAGGAATTGTTGAGCTGCAGAACTTAGGCAAGAGAAAAGGCAAATCAATAACTTCCAAATACCTCCTCTCAGATCAGAGGAATTCAGCAGAATTGTGCGCAACCAAGAATGGTTTCCTTTTAGTGAGTGCCCATTTTCCTGCTTTTCATATTCTCATTTGTGATTCTGTAGCTGGTCAGAATTAGTTCAGTATTCACAACAGTTGTACTGCTGGCTAAAGAATTATTTCTGTAATATTAAACATTCGTATTTGTATATATAGATAGGTTTATAAGTAACATAAGTGAAGCATGATACTGATTCTCTAGTAACAAAGATATTGTATTAAGATAATAAAATTTGCAATAGATGTAATTTATGACAAAACAAAAAATATCATACTGGTCTGTGATGATAATTTATCTTGTGTATTATAGACTGACTGTGTCCCTCTGTTATGGGATCTTTGGGGTGTTGATTTTCTGACCAGAAGCGTCTGTGGTTACAGCACCTTTGCCTGAGTTCTTGTCCTGTGTCCAGGAAGAATGAGGTACACAGACAAGTGAAGGGTGAACAAGACAAAGAAGAGCTTTATTTAGTGTTACAACAGCTCAGAGGAGACCCACAGTGGGCAGCTCCTCTCCGTACACAGGTCATGTGTCCAGTATTCAGTTCTCACTAGAGAGGAGGCGCTGGAGAGGGTGGCTCCTCTCTGCCAGCAGGTTGTCTCTGCAGCTCTCATTGGAGAAGGCAGCTCCTCTCTGCAACTGGTTGTCCATAGTCTCTCTGCCCTCTTCAGTCCTCTGCTGACCTCTGCCCTGCTCTGGCTGAGCTCAGGGCTTTTATAGACCTCAGAGAAGAGGAAGTGCATGCTGATTGGTCCACAGGTAGCCATGGGCACCTAGAAGAGGCACCATGAGTCTCCACTCTGGTTGGCGGGACAGGCAGCTTGGCCTGAAGGTGGGGCCTTACCAAGGACCCACCCGCTTCCACCCAGGCCTCTGCCCCCCACTGCTATTCAAGGCCAAACCTATTCCAAGATCAGAGCTGGCTCCAGGAGAGGAGAGAAGCCAGGCAGGGGGAACAAACATCCCTGAGCCAGCAGGGATTGAAGCGGGGGGTGCTCAAGGGAACGGGGAATGGGGGCCCTTCTGAAGCCCCAAGGATGCAGGCTACAGAGATGCCCAACTCCTGTGCCTGGGAGGGGAGCCACAGCTGCACCCAGGGAGCTCCCGCCCAGCCAACTTGGAATGGTTGGGGTTCCTGCTTGTCCTCAGCTTCTGCCTGCTCTAAGCGGGAGGCCCAGGTCTGCATCCACGGGCCAAGTGGTTGCAGTTGCACCCAGGAGAGCAGACTGCAACCTCCAGGTTGCTGCTCCCAGCCCCTTCTAAGAGCACAGGGAGGTTCGGACTTACAGCTGCAGTTTGGGCAGCTGTAGTCCCACCCAGGAGGGTGGGGCTCCCACCAGCTCCATAGAATATGCAGCCCCAGTTGCGCCTCCCTGCTGCGGTCAGAGTGGGGCAGCAGCCACTGCCATCACCTCCGAAGATCATATATGGAAGTCCTAATCTCCAGTGTGGCTGGATTTGGAGACGGAGGTCTCCAAGGAAATAATTAAAGTTAAATGAGGTCATAAGGGTGGGGTCCTGATTTGATAGGATTAGTGGCCTCATAAGAAGAGACACCAGAGAGCTTGCTGGCTCTCTCTCCCAGAACACAGTCAAGAGGTCACATGAGCACATAGCTGGATGATGGTTATCTGTCAGCCAAGAGAACAGGCCTCAGAATGAAATCTGCCTTGCTCGTCCCTTGATCTTTGACTTCCCGGTCTCCAGAACTATAAGAAAAAATGTCTGTTGTTTAAATCACCAAGGCTGTGGTCTTTTGTTCTGGCAGCCTGAGCAGACCAAGGCAGTGTTTTAATACAGTGTGTAAAATTTGTGATTCACTTCTGAATCTAAATATTGCTTTAAGAATTTCATTAGCAGCTACACTTATAGGTTTAAAACTTTGGGAGGCCAAGGCGGGAGGATCACTTGAGCCCAGGAGTTTGAGACCAGCCTGGGCAACATGGCAAAACCCCATCTCTACCAAATTATACAAAAAATTAGCCTGGTGTGGGGGCATGTGCCTGTGGTCTCAGCTACTTAGGAGGCTGAGGTGGGAGGATCACCTGAGCCTACGAGGTGGAGGTTGCAGTGAGCTGAGATCGCACCACTGCACTCCAGCCTGGGTGACAGAGCTAGACTCTGTCTCAAAAAAAAAAAAAAAAAAAAAAAGGAGGCTGTGTGTGGTGGCTCGAGCATATAATCCCAGCACTTTGGGAGGCCAAGGTGAGCGGATTATGAGGTCAGGAGTTTGAGACTAGCCTGGTCAACATGGGGAAACCCTGTCCCTACTAAAAATACAAAAACTCGCCAGGCGTGGTGGCAGGTGCCTGTAATCTCAGCTACTCTGGAGGTTGAGGCAGAGGTTGCAGTGAGTCATGATGGTGCCATTGCACTCCAGCCTGGATGAAAGAGAGACTCTGAAGAAAAAAAAAAAAGTATCATGGACATGGGCTTTTATACCATGGGGTACAACAGAGATTTCTCAAAGGCCTTCATATAATTCTATTACTTCAGAAGTGGAGAAAGGTAAGCACAGGGTTGGCTTTACAAAGAATATTGCTAAACCTTGGAAAAAGAGTGAGAGGCACTGTAAATATGTTTAGCGCCAGTGTTTCATATGTTTTAATTTTTAAATTTTTTATTTTAATTTTAAATAACAAAATAAATAAATGCTTAGTGTACTCTGTGAAAGTAAACAACATAAAGTTGTAGAAAGAAAACATTAATCTGGTCTGTCACCTCCTCTAATCTCTGCTCCCTGACCCTCACCAAGTTGAAAACCTTAAGTCTGGGTGCATATTCGTTCATTCTTATAGAAAATCTACAAGGCCCGGTGGCTCATGCCTGTAAACCCAACACTTTGGGAGGCCAAGGAGGGCAGATCATGAGATCAACAGTTTGAGACCAGCCTGACCAATATGATGAAACCCTGTCTCTATTAAAAATACAAAAATTAAACGGGCATGGTGGCGTACGCCTGTAATCCCAGCTACTTGGGAGGCTTAGGCATGAGAATTGCTTGAGGCTGGAAGGAGGATGTGGCAGTGAGTGAGACTGCACCACTGCACTCCAGCCTGGGTGATAAAGCGAGATCCTGTCTCAAAAAAAAAAAAAAAAAAGGCAGAAGGCAGAATTCTGATTAACCCATGTGCGGTTGCTGCTGGGTGTATCCTGTTTGCTTAGATGATGCTTTGAAACCTGCCTTAATCACATGACTTTCTCTTTTGAATAAAGAGTTGAAGGCCGCGTGGTGGCTTACGCCTGTAATCCCAGCACTTTGGGAGACTGACGCGGGTGGATCACGAGGTCAAGAGATCGAGACCATCCTGGTCATAATGGTGAAACCCCGTCTCTACTAAAAATACAAAAAATTAGCTGGGCATGGTGGTGCATGCCTGTAATCCCACCTACTCAGGAGGCTGAGGTAGGAGAATTGCCTGAACCCAGGAGGCGGAGGTTGCGGTGAGCTGAGATCACACCATTGCACTCCAGCCTGGGTAACAACAGCGAAACTCCGTCTCAAAAAAAAAAAAAAAAAAAAAAGAGTTGAAAATGGGTCCTAACAGCATTTGTCAAAAATGAGCCAAACCCTGCTTAGTGATGTGATTCCAAAGACTAGAGTCTGGAAAGCAGGGAGGGGGAGTAACTTTACAGAAGAGAAACCTGGTAAACACTACCTTGACAAGGCAGTTAAGTTTAATGCCCTCACTGATAAGCCATGTTGACGATATGTGCTCTTGATATGGTGATCTAGTTTGGATGTCTGTCCTCTCCAATCTCATACTGAAATGTGATCCTCAATGTTGAAGGTGGGGCCTACTGTTTGGGTCATGGGCGTGGATCCCTCATGAATGGTTTGGTGCTTCCTCATGGTAATAAGTGAGTTCTCACTCTGTTAGTTCATGGGAGAGCTTGCTGTTTTTAAGACAGGGTCTCACTCTGTCACCCAGGCTGGAATGCAGTGGCACGATCTCAGCTCCCCGCAACCTCCACCTCCTGGGTTCAATGATTCTCATGCCTCAGTCTCCTGAGTAGCTGGGATTACAGGCATGCACCACCATGCCCAACTAATTTTTGTATTTTTAGTAGAGACAGGGTTTCACCATGTTGGCCAGTTTGGTCTTGAACTCCTGGCCTCAGGTGATCCACCCACCTTGGCCTCCCAAAGTGTTGGGAATAACAGGTGTGAGCCAAAACACCTGGCAAGAGAGCTGGTTGTTTAAGTGAACCTGGGACCTCCTCCTCTCTCTTGCTCCCTCTGTTGCCGTGTGATACGCTGGCTTCTTCTTTGTCTTCTCTCATAAGCTTCCTGAGCCTCACCAGAAGCTGATGCCGGCACTATGCTTCTTGTAAAGCTTGCAAATCATGAGCCAAATAAGCCTCTTTTCTTTATAAATTATCCAGTCTCAGGTATTCCTTTATAGCAATGCAACACAGATTAACACATATGATGTTATTAGAATGGCACTTTACTGGCCAGGTGCGGTGGCTTATGCCTGGAATCCCAGCACTTTGGGAGGCCGAGGCGGATAGATCACCTGAGGTCAGGAGTTTGAGACCAGCCTGGCCAACATAGTGAAACCCTGTCTCTACTAAAAATACAAAAAATTAGCTGGGCATGGTGGTGCACACCTATAATCCCAGCTACTCCAGAGGCTGAGGCAGGAGAATTGCTTGAACCTGGGAGGCGGAGGTTGCAGTGAGCTGAGCTTGAGCCATTGATTGCACTCCAGCCTGGGCAATAGGAGCAAAACTCCATCTCAAGGGAAAAAAAAAAATGGCACCTTACCTCAGCGGTCTTCCTCTCAAAAACCCTCAAACTCCACTTTAGCCACGAGGACAACATCAGACAAAACCAAACTGAGGGGAAATCTACAACGTACCTGATGAATAACTTTCCCAAAACTGTCAATACTATCATAAGCAAGCAAAGTCTGAGAAACTGTCACAGACCAGAGCAGGCTAATGAAACATGACTGCAAAATGTAATGTGGTATCCTGGGTGGGATTTTGGGACAAAAAAAGAACTTTGGGGGAAAATCTAGTGAAATAAGAATAAAGCATACAGTTTAGTTAATAGCAACGCAGCATTGTTGACTCTTTAGTTGTGACAAATGTACCAGAATGATATACGATGTTAACAATGAAGATGCGGGGTGAGGAGTATGCAGAAACGCTCTGTACTGTCTTTGCAACTTTTCGGGAAATCCAAACTATTCTAAAATTAAAAGGAGAGAAGGCAATTATTGCTAGCCACATCCTTCCTCCGGGAGTATATCTATGCCAAGAAAGCATCCTGCCTCCAGAAACAAAGAATTGGTACCTCTACAACCTAGTGCTTAATTTGAACCAATTATGTGGGTGGTCAGGAAGGAATTGTGAGAAGTCATTTCCCCTGTCCAAATCCTCCTGCTAGCTCAGAGAAGCCTTTCCAAGGAAGCCTTCCATTCGGGCTGTCCTTGCCACGCCATGCATGCCACCCCAGCAAGCACCATGGTTCCTAACTATGAGAGTGCCCACCCAGATGCTGCCCAGGATTGCCAGGCTTATTCTCTGCACCTGTTGCTTCTGAGTCTTGAACCCTGGCTCTGTTCTTGACCTTTAACATTTGCTTTTGCCACCACCATCACTTCCCTTGCTTTAGTGACTAATTCAGACCCCTGACTCTGGTTCTGTGGTCTCGGCTCCTCACTTTACTCAGCTCTGCACAATCCCTTGATTCCTGTACCACCTGGAGCTGCAGGTGAGAGATATTCCTTCCATCCTTCTTTACTTGTCTGACTAGCCCAAGCCCAGCTGGGCCTCAGCTGAAAGGAGAAGTGGACACTGTAGCTTTTTTTTTTTTTTTTGAGACAGGGTCTCACTCTGTCACCCAGGCTGGGAGCAACGGCATGCTTGGCTCACTGCAACCTCTGCCTGCCAGGTTCAAGCTATTCTTGTGCTTCAGCCTCCTGAGTATCTGGGATTACAGATGTGCACCAGCATGCCTGACTAATATTTGTATTTTTTTAAGTAGAGATGGGGTTTTGCCATGTTGGCCAGGCTGATCTGGAACTTCTGGTCTCATGTGATCCACCTGCCTCAGCATCCCCAAGTGCTGGGATTACACGTGTGAGCCACCGTGCCCAGCCTGTCTCCCATTTTCATGAGTAGTGGTGGTGGTGTTTTCCTGCCTGCTACATCACAGGAAGCCCTGAATGGGAGCAGAGGGGGAACACCAAGCCTACTACCCTGCCAATCAGAAAATCCAGAAACTGGTTGAGCGCAGTGGCTCATGCCTGTGATCCCAGCACTTTGGGAGACCGAGGTGGGCGGATCACCTGAGGTCGAGAGTTTGAGACCAACCTGACCAACATGGAGAAACCCTGTCTCTACTAAAAATACAAAAATTGGCCAGGTGTGGTGGCACATGCCTGTAGTCCCAGCTACTCAGGAGGCTGAAGCAGGAGAATCACTTGAATCTGGGAAGCAGAGGTTGTGGTGAGCCGAGATTGCACCACTGCACTCCAGCCTGGGCAACAAGAGCGAGACCCCGTCTCAGAAACATCAACAAGAACAACAAAAATCCTGAAACCCCAGCATAATTAATTACCTTCTATAGCTGGGAGGAATGGGGAAGCCCTGTCTCTAGCAAGTCACCTCATCTGGATCTATAATCTGGGTGTGAAGTAATAATTTTATTGCCGTGTCCCCAGCACCATCTCACTACATAGCTAGCAGGTTGTGCATAAAAACAAGGCCTCGTGCATACACACCGTCACTACCTCTGTGCAGTGAGGACGTGTCTGCAGGCCTGGGTTACAAAGCACAGGAAGGACTGCAGAGCTGGCATGGCTGGAGCTACCATGGTGGCAGAACCCAGGGCAAGGATCTGGGAAGTGTCAGTGGAATTCCAAGGTTTTCAGAAGGATCAGGAGGTCTACCTTAGGAAGCCAGGAACTCTATTCTTTTTCTCAGAGTTTGCCCTCCATCTGTGTAAAGCAGTGTTTCTCAATTTGCTTTTTTTTTTTAAAAATCACTGCCCCTGAAGAGGAAGAGTTAGTTATGTTTAAATGATCCCTAACAAGAAAATTAAATACTAAGGAATAAGGCTGAGCTTTGTGAGGACCAGAAATCATTATGTTTAAGATTTTTTTTTGACCCCCAATTCCAAGAACCAATTTACATCCTTTTGAAGGTGATGTTGCCTCTTTTGAGATTGCATGTTACAGAAGGCTGGTACTCCTGCTGTGAACATTGTAACCCACAAGGTGAACTCTCTTCTTAGACTTTCTCCTGCTTCCCTGTATTCCTTGTCTTCTGAATCCATAAGGATGAATTCATCTGCAAGCCACAGGGATTCAAATTAAACTGCCTGGCACCATAGAGATGTTTATATTCTGCAAAAGAAGTCTGGATTTAGATGTAGTGGCTCCACCAAAGACACAGGCTCTTTCTATTTATCCACTCAACTATCTTCAGGGTATCCGGAACATCTCCACTCATGGCCACAAGATGGCTGCAGCAGCTCCAGGCATTGGTCCACACATGACTGCATCTGAAAGGGAGAAGAGACAAGCAATGAAGCAATGAAGGAGGAGCAAACGACTCTCTGGTAGGGAAGTAATAGTGGCTGACACTTCTCTCTTTTTGCTTATTTCTTTTGTCCTTTGTCAGTTGCTTTTATTTAAAATAGCATCCCCCAAACCCACATGTGCACAATATGCATCAAAGTGGAAGGAGCACTCTTCATAGACCTCATGCAAATGACTACCTCTGGGCCTCAGCTTCCACACTTCTGAAGCAAGGGTTGAAGACTAGAAGGCCCTCCCTGCTTTTTTTTTTTTTTTTCAGATGGCATTTTTGCTCTTGTTGCCTAGGTTGGAGTGCAATGGCGTGATCTCGGCTTGAGGCAACCTCTGCCTTCTGGGTTCAAGCGATTCTCCTGCCTCAGCCTCCTGAGTAGCTGGACCTATAGGCATGTGCCACCACACCCGGCTAATTTTGTATTTTTAGTAGAGATGGGGTTTCTCCATGTTGGTCAGGCTGGTCTCGAACTGCCAACCTCAGGTGATATGCCTACCTCGGCCTCCCAAAATGCTGGGATTACAGGCGTGAGTCATCACATTCGGCCTAGATGCCCTTTTTAACGTAAACTTTTTATTGAAGTAGAACATAAAGGCTCACAAATCATAAATATACTGCTTGATGAATTTTTTTTTTTTTTTGAGACAGGGTCTCACACTGTCACCCAGGTTGGAGTGCAGTAGTACAATCTTTGCTCTGCCTTCTGGGCTCAAGTGATCTTCCGCCTCCTGGGCTCCCAGGCTCAATTTATTCTCCCACCTCAGCCTCCTGGGTAGCGGGGACTACAGGTACATACCAGTATTCCTAGCTGATTTTTTTGTAGAAACAAGTTTTTACCATGTTGCTCAGGCTGGTCTTGAATTCCTGGGCTCAGGCAATTTGCCCACCTCGGCCTCCAAAAGTATTGGAATTACAGCCATGAGCCACTGTGGCCAGCCTGCTTGATGAATTTTTCCAAAAAAAAACCAAAAAACCAAAAACAAAACCATCCCCCAAATCAAAAAACAAGTACCCCAGAAACTTGCTACAAAGGTACCACTATTCTGATTTCTCACACTATACGTTAGTTTTGCCCATTTTTTTGGCTTTATATAAAGCTGCTGGACTCTTACAGCAGATGTTCTTTTTTTCTAGCTTGTCACTATTATGTTTGTGAGATGCATTCACCATGTTGTTCCTTCATTCTGTTGTGCAATATTCCATTGTGTGACTGTACCACATTTATTCACACATTCCACTGTTGACAGCCACGTGACCTGTTTCTAGTTTTGGCTGTGATACATAGCCCTTCTGAGTAGATTCTTGGATCCATCTTTTTGTGAATATATGCATGCATTTCTTTTGCATTCTGAATGTAGAACTGCTGGGCCATATCATGTGTGAATGTCCATGTTCCAGATGTCCTTTCTTTTTTGAGATAGAGTTTCACTCTGGTTGCCCAGGCTGGAGTGCAATGGCTCAATCTGGGCTCACTGCAGTCTCATTCCTCAGCCTTCTGAGTAGCTGGGATTATAGGCATGTGCCACCTCACCTGGCTAATTTTTGTATTTTTAGTAGAGATGGGGTTTCACCATATTGGTCAGGCTGGTCTCAAACTCCTGATCTTGGGTGATCCACCTGCCTCAGCTTCTCAAAGTGCTGCGATTACAGGCGTGAGCCACTGTGCTCCAGATGACTTTTAAGGATCACTCCTAGTGATGGAATCAAACACTTTCATGGAGGCATACAGCCAGTAAAAATCACTGCTAATAAGACTCAATGCCTATGGTTCCAGTACTTGTCAGTTTCATATCTTCTCCAGCCCAACCTCTCTAATGAGTAATCCTCACAAAGGAATACACATGCATGCCCACACTCCATACACCTGTGCCTGCTTGTAAAGAAAGCCAGGTAGCACGTATCCTTCAGTTATGGCAGTGAAAGGTGTTTCTATAGTGGTCCAGCTACTAGGAGCCTTTAGGGTAGTCCAAGGTTTTGGAGGCTCTGGAAAGTATTTACTCCTCTGTGATCTACTTCACAACCAGACTTATGAAATGAAACTATCAACAGATAGGTTAATTCCTTAAAATTTTTAATTTAAAATTTTTCATGGGTACATAGTAGGTGTATATATTTATAGGGTACATGAGATGCTCTGATACTTTGATACCGGCATACGATGCATAGTAACATCAGGGTAAATGGGCTATCCATCACCTCAATCTTCCCTTATATTTTAAGCACCTGGTAGATGCTCACTAAAAATAATCATAAAAGTTTAGGAGCAGAAGGACCTTATAATATAATTTTCTAATAGATAGTTGCTTTCTAAGCAAGTTTTCAAACAGGAAATTAATTTAAAGTAAAACTTAAAGGTTTGGAATGTCAATTTGTGGTTTAGAAAAATGGAAGGATCTTGGCTGAGAGCAGTGGCTCTTTGGGAGGCCGAAGCTGATAAATCACTTGAGGTCATGAGTTTGAGACCAGCCTGGCCAACATAGTGAAACCCTATATCTACTAAAAATACAAAAATTAGCTGGGTATGGTGGTGCATCCCAGCTACTCAGGAGGCTGAGGCAGGAGAATTGCTTGAACCCAGGAGGCAGCAGTTACAGTGAGCTGAGATCGCATCATTGCACTACGGCCTGGGTGACCAGGCAAGACTTTGTATCAAACAACAACAACAACAAAGAAAATTAGAAGGATCTTAATGGATTCATGCTAGGTTAAAAGAGAGAGAGAGAGGCTGGGTGTGGTGGCTCATACCTGTAATTCCAGCACTCTGGGAGGCTGAAGCAGGTGGATCACCTGAGGTCAGGAGTTTGAGACAAGCCTGGCCAACATGGCAAACTCCCATCTCTAGTAAAAAATACAAAAATTAGCTGGGCATGGTACTGCATGCCTGTAATCCCAGCTACTCAGGAGGCTGAGGCAGGAGAATCTCTTGAACCCGGGAGGTGGAGGTTGCAGTGAGCTATGATTGCACCACTGCATTCTAGCCTGGGCGACAGAGTGAGATTCTGTGTCAAAAAATAAAAAAAGGAAGGATCTTGATGGATTGATGCTAGGAGGTTAAAAGAGAGAAAGAAAGAGAGAACAAGCAAGAGAAATGGAAGGAGCTAAAAGAACAGTGTTTCTCAAAATATAGTCTATAGACTAGCATCAGCATAAGCATCACCTAGGAGATTATTAACATGTTTTTTAATTAAAAATCATTCCAGGCCTCACTCCAGAAGCAGTATCTCTTGATGTGGGGCCTGGAAGTTTGCATTTTAACAAGCTCACAAGTGATTGTTAGGCACCCAAAGTTTGAGATTCAGAACACTGACTGCATAACTGTCTTGTACTACTCTCTGCATCGAGTTCTCCATGCTTTGCAAGCCAGGAGCTTTTCTACACAGAGAGAGAAAATGATCCTGTCATTCACCCACAAACCCCTCTGCTGGTTCAGTAGCGAGTTCCAATTTCTTGTTTGTAAAATTGTTCAGATCCTGGACTCAAGTGGACCTTGTTTCTTTCCCGGGACATCATTGGATGAATTAAATTGTCTACACAATTTTGTCTCTGTTGGGGATTGTGCCTTCTCACTTGCCCCCCTTGTTTGAGACAGCCCTCTGTGGCTTGCGACATGTCACTCTGAATGCTTTCTGAAAACGTCCTTTGTCCTCACCAGCCGTCCACTTCAGAAGTGGTGGTGTTATTCTGAGGCAGGGCTTGGGATGCCATATAGAATAAAGCTATGATTGTACTAAAAACCACCAGAGGATAAGCGGCTAATACAAACAAGAAAAAGGCCTAAGCACACGCTGTACCAGGGGAGAGAATGAGCGAATGATGCATTGAGACTGCTTTGTTTCTGAGGTCTGGGCACTCACATGCAGCCTTGCTAGCCTTGCTAGCGAGGTTGACAGGATTTCAGCTTGGTAAACGTACTAAATTCTGGGGCCCAAAGCCCTGTCTCCTGAAAGGTGCCAGCCTAAGTGTCTAAGATTCCCTAAGGATTGGGAGGGCCCCATGCTGTGTTCTTGGGTTCTGTTGGCATAGGAGACCTCCCCTGCCTCTCATGCACACACATAAATCTACTGTCTTCCTCAGAGCTCAACTCTGGAAATCTGAGCTTCCCTCCATAAATTCCAACAAACACCGTGGCCTTCTGCTCTGATGCAGAAACGTTACATGTTTCCTCCTTACCGCAGTGCTGCTTTTGAAACTTTTAGTAGCCTGTAATCTCAGCACTTTGAGAGGCTGAGGTGAGCAGATCACTTGAGGTCAAGAGTTCGAGACCAGCCTGTCCAAAACGGTGACACCCCGTCTGTACTAAAAATACAAAAATTAGCTGGGTGTGGTGGCTCATGCCTGTAATCTCAGCTACCGTGGAGGCTGAGAGGCAGGAGAATTGCTTGAATCCAGGAGATGGAGGTTGCAGAGGGCTGAGATCATGCCACTGCACTCCAGAGTGAAACCCTGTCTCAAAACAAGACAAAACAAAACAAAACAAAAACCTTTTAGGAGAAGCAAAGTCACATGCTCTGGGACACTTATGTTATTTCAGCCACAATTTCCCACCACAAGGAACACTGAAATACAACAGGAAATGGTGAATATGAACGGGCAGGGCTGGGCTAAATTTCATGGTGGAAACTTTCTACCAAAATACTTTCCATACAAATTCACTTTCTTTAGTTTTGATGACTACCCACTGGATAATTGTGGCCAGCTGCCATTGACCAACCAGGAAACTGGAAAATAAATAAACTGTAATAAATGATTTCATATGGTCTTTTAGGAACTCTGAGTCTGGGTCCTTGTTTTGGTATGAGCATAGAAAAGTGGTACTCCAATCTAAATTAAGCAAATGGAGGACTCTGGAGGTCAGCATACACACACACACACACACACACACACACACACATACACACACTTTTATTTTATTTTGAGACAGAGTCTCCTTCCGTTACCCAGGCTGGAGTATAGTGCTGCAATCTTGGCTCATTGCAGCCTCAACCTCCCAGGCTCAAGCAATCCTTCCACCTCAGCCTCTTAAGTAGCTGGGACTACAGGTACATGCCACCATGCCAGACTCATTTTTACATTTTATGTAGAGATGGGGTCTCACTATGTTGCCTAAGCTGGTCTTGAACTTATGGGCTCAAGTGATCCTTCCACCGTGGTCTCCCTATATATATACTCCCTATGTGTATATATATATACACATAGATATATATATACATATATCTATGTGTATATATATATATTAAATTCAACCAGATCCTACTCAGAATAGTAAAGCATATTTAATTATGAAAACTCTTTGATTATTATTTCATAATAGTAGTAGAGAAAACCTGACAGAAAGGGAAAGGAAGGTAATTAACATTTAGGGAGCACCTTTTCCATGCTAGCACTTTGCTAGGACTGTGACATAATGAATGCTATTTAACTCACACAACCATCTCATCAGGTATTATTACCTGCTCTCCATTCTCCTTTTTAGGTTAGCAACAGGTTCACTGAGGTAACTTGCTCATGGTCACCCACTTGTAGTGACAAAGGAGAATTCAAATGTGGTTCTTTTTTCACGTTCCCAGATGTCCAAAAGAAAAAGCTTCTGTGGAGTCTTAATCCATACAGATCACCATCATATCTAAGGCAGCCTGCTTGTTAAAGTAAGTAGCACCATTCAATAAAAAAAAAAACCTATTTATGCATCTATAGACACTCATTTCTAGTTATATTGTGCTATTTGTTTTTGTGCTAATTCAGAAGAACAGATAATAGGATCTGTAGTAGTTGTAGGCAGCCCTTGAATGTGAAAGTGTTAATTTTAACGCAACTCCAAGAGGACCAGATCTTGGCATTCCTTAGATGCAGCATTTAAAATTGTTCCCAGTGCCCTTTGAATGCTGTTTTTCCCAGCCAAGGCAGACTCATGTGGAGGAGATAAAAGATAATAGCTTGAGGACTAAGGGTCCAAACCTATATAAATTACATTAGGGGAAATAGGGGAAGGTCTTTGAAGCTCAGAGTCTCTGATTGATATTTTGGGTAGATTTCAACTCTCTGCATTCTCTTCCACTTGTTTCTAGTGACAACTGTGGTATAGGCCTTAGCGAATTCCAGAGTCAACATCGGTCACCACCTTTTAGCAGGTAAAACTAGGCAAACCTTTGAGTTTGGAATGGGTAGGGAAAATGTAGTCCCTCACAATGTCTCCCTACCCATTACTTTGCTAAAGGGACTGAGAACCCTTTAAAGACTTGGCCTTGTAAACAGAAGATCTAGGGACAGGTAAGGCAGAAAAAGGAGGTGAACTTGCACCCCAAAGAAGTAACACCTTGACTATTTGCACCATGCCAGCAAATAAAGCTGAGAATCAGCTCAGCCCAAGGCCTGGAAAGGAAGCACAAATAAATGCCTGAAAAATAACTCGAACCTCGTGGTTCTTTCAAAAGTATTTGGCGAAAGTGTGAGCTGAAGAGTCGCATGTCATTTGTAGCTCTCTACTTATGCTCGCTGTTCTGAGGTGTGACTTTACACAAACCTAGCTCAGCTGCAGAAGCAAGACACAATGGGGACCTCATAGTGAGTCTGAAGACTCCCCACACCGCCTCCTTGAAGCCGGTTCCAGGTTCCCCAGACGATGTCCTCCGGCTCCTTTGAGCTTCGTCGCCTTTTATGCTATTCTTCTGATATGGGTCGTAATTTCGTCTATTTCGGGTTCTTTCTGCGCGTGCCTTAGAGGCCAGAAGACCCTGACTCTTGTGCGTGTCCTGGAAGCCCCCAGCCCCAAGCCTGGCTGCAGGTGGGCGCATCAGTAAACGCGAGTGGAATGGAAGAGGCTCCTCTAACCTCTTTTCCACCTCCGATTTCCGTTAGACATTTCCTCCGCGCGGCGGCCTCCGCGAGGCGAGGTTGGACACTGGGAGGATAGCCGCAGAGGCCCAGGGCGCACTTCCTGCCGGGCGGGGGCGGGGCTGCGCCTCCTCTCTCTCTCTCTCTCCGTCCCTCCCCCACTCCCCACTTGCCCCTCCCCGCTCTCCCCGCCCCCTCCCGGGCGGCCGCGGCACCTCGGGGGCGGGGCCGGAGCGGGTGGGCGGCTTGGCTGTGCGGGCTGGGTGCCGAGGCGGTGCTGCCGGTAGACCCGCGGCGGGTTCGGGCGCGCGCGGCGCGGAGCGGAGCGGAGGGTCTCAGCGCGGGCAGAGACCAGCCGGCGGTTGGAGGCGGCTCCTGGCCCGGCCGGTGCAAGGCCTCGGGCTGAGCGGCGGCGGCGCAGAGCTTCGGCCTGGGGTTCTCGGGGAGCCCGCCGCGGCCGGCAGCTGGAGGAAGCGGCGGCGGCGCGTCCCGAGCGGTGCACGCCATGGCGGGCGGGCCCCCCAAGGCCCTGCCGTCCACCGGGCCCCACTCCCTGCGTGACATGCCGCACCCGCTGGCCGGCTCCAGCAGCGAGGAGGCCGTGGGTGGTGACAGCACGCCCAGCCCGGACCTGCTGATGGCCCGCAGCTTCGGTGACAAGGTGGGGCGCCTGGGACTGGGGATTGGGAGGCTTATTTCGCTCTCCCGGGGGTGGGGATGTTGGATCCGGAGCCTTCTAGTGCCTGGGGCCGCGCCCACCCTGCCTCCCCTTCCCGCGGGACGGGCGTGCCCTGGCCCCGGAGCCCTCGGCGAAAGCGTCTCTTCTGCCGCCTCCGCGGGGTCGCAGCCGCAGAGGGATGGGCTTCGCTGGCTGTGACTGATAGCGAGCGCTGGTGACAGCTGGTGGGGAGGGGTCCCGCCTGCGTGTTGGGGCGGGAGGCGTGTGTGCAGGGCAGGGCGCCTGTGTCCTCGGATGGGGTCCCGAGTTCTCCAGGTGCATCCCGGTAGGCTGAGCTGCTGCATAACTTGTAGCTCCTCCAGTTTCCCGAGACTGCACAGAAGCAGGAGTTCATGGCTTTCCGTGCTGGGACCGGGCAGCCCTGGGCTTACCGGGAGTCTTCTTCCCCTGAGTCAGTCATGTGGGGAGTGATCTTTGTTTAGGTTTGCTGTTTGCCCTGAGGAGTCACCTGACTCAGACCCCAGCCAGCGGCGGCTGGAGAACCTCGTTGTGGTTTTCTGTCTGGGGCTCCATTCACCTCCGACGGCCTACCACTCTGTTTAGGTTTGGCACAGGCTGGTTTTGTGGTTGATAAAAAGAAGGCTCGCCCTTTGACCTTCTTTGTACAGAGGGAGGCTCCAGATTTTCTTACAGCAGCGTAACCCTCCTGCTGCTTGGAGAGACCGCAGAGTCCAGGCTGGGATAAGGGACGGCCTCCTCCCTGCCCCCATGGCCATTTCAGTTATGAAGGGAACTTGAGCAGTGATTGTATAAGCGCTCCTGCCGCCACTTAGTCACTAATTGCAGAAACTAGAATTGTTCTCAGGTCCTTTGCAAGATTTTCTCTCCCTAGTAAAATACTAAATGAATTCCGCCTTGTCCCAAAATTAATGGGAACAGGGGACCTAACTTTCTTCTTCCCTTACTGTACTGCACGGGACAGCATGCACGGGACAGCATACAGTAAAAATGAGGATGAGAAAATATAATTTGTCCGCCTTGCAGTCAGAAGGGCACTGAGCACTTAGAATCTCTAGAGAGTGGGACTTGATGTACCTTCTGCAGAGAGTTTGTGAAAGCAGGGAGTTCTAAAGCATTAGGAACAGGAAAATTTAAAAAGCTGATGGAAGCCAGGTGCAGTGACTCACACCTGTAATATCAGCGCTTTGGGAGGCTGAGGCTGGAGGATTGCTCTGGGTCAAACGTTTGAGACCAGCCTGGGCAATATATCGAGACCCCATCTCCACACACACACACACACACACACTCTCTCTCTCTCTCTCACACTCTGGGTGTGGTGGCATGAACCTGTAGTTCAAGCTACACACACACTTTCTCTCTGTCTCTCTTCTGGGCATGATGGCATGCACCTGTAGTCCAAGCTACTCAGGAGGCTGAGGTGGGAGGATTGCTTGAGCCCTGGAGTTCAAGGCTGCAGTGAGCTATGATTGCATCACTGTAGTCCAGCCTGGGCAAGAAAGTGAGACCCTGTCTCAAAAAAGTGTTGAATGACTGAGTAAATTTGCTTTCTTATGGACAAAAATTGGTCTTAAAGTAGTATAGGAACTGAGGTTAAACCTTCTCATTTTCCTCTCAGTTCTGTATAGGACACTGAATTAATTATCTATTGCTGTGTAGCAAATTACCCTAAAACTTAACCACCTGAAAATAGTGTCTGTGGGACAATCTGAGTGGTTCAGAATTAGGTTTTCCTCGAGGTTGCAGTCATCTGCAGGCTGGATTAGGGAAGGATCCACTTCTAAGCTCATGCACATGGTTGTTGGCAGGCCTTAGCTAAGCTCCATAGGGCTGTTTGATGTGGCAACTGGATTTTTCCCCCCCAGAGTGAGTGATCCAAGAGAGCCCAAGACTCGAGCCAGTCTCCTATAATCTTTTTTGGAAGTGACACGCCTCTGCTGTATTCTGTTGGTCACACAGATTGACACTGGTACAATGTGGGGAGAGGGTGTGAATACCAAGAGGTGGGGATCACTGACCATCTTGGAGACTGGCTACTACAGATAGCTATTTTAAATATTTGCTTAACGATTCACTCTTGGATGATGCCTGACTAGAGAATGGGCATTTTACTAATAAGCACTTGGAAGACAAATTCCCTGTACCACCAACATCTGGTTTGTGGCCAAAAAGTCAGTCTCAAGTCTAATTACTGATTGCTTCCTTTATAGGGTCTGTTCTGTGTGAGAGGGAGAGTCTTGACGGCATTATTAATTATTGAATATATATATATATATATTTTTTTTTTTTTTTTGAGATGAAGTCTTGCTCTTCATCAGGCTGTAGTGAAGTAGCACAATCTTGGCTCACTGCAACTTCTGCCTCCTGGGTTCAAGCGATTTTCCTGCCTCAGCCTCCTGAGGTAGCTGGGACTACAGGTGTCCGCCATCATGTTCGGCTAATTTTTTGTATTTTAGTAGAGACAGGGTTTCCCCATGTTGGCCAGCATGGTCTTGATTTCCTGCCCTTGTGATCCTCCCACCTCAGCCTCACAAAGTGCTGGGATTACAGATGTGAGCCACTGCGCCTGACCAATTACTGCATATCTATGTATTTTTTGAGACAGAGACTCACTCTGTCTGCTAGGCCGGAGTTCAGTGGCCTGATCCTGACTCACTCCAACCTCCACCGCCCTGGTTGAAGTGATTCTTGTGCCTCAACTCCAGAGTAGCTGGAATTACAGGCATGTGCCACCTTGACTGGCTAAGTTTTTTGTTTTTAGTACAGATGAAGTTTCACTATGTTGGCTGGGCTGATGGCAGACACTCCTGGCCTCAAGTGATCCACCTGCCTTGGCCTCCCAAAGTGTTGGAATTACAGGCGTGAGCTACCATGACTAGCCTAATTATTGAATATTTAATAAATTTCCTAACAGCTATGGGTAGCATCTAAATGACACCATTCTCAAGGGCCTGATTTATAGTAAGCCACTTTTCCTTAGAGGCTAAGCATTGCAATTTCTTTCTCTGACTAGGAGTAACATTTTCCTTGAATCTTGGCATACACATGTGGTCTCGTAACTGAAGAAATTTCTGTAGAGAGAAGCTAGCAAGCCACAGAGGTGAGTCAGAGCCAGAAGCAGGAAGCCTTCCCTGTGGCCAGCTTTCTCCTGCCTCAGCAGTGTGAGGGTCATCAGAGGGGAGGTAGAACAGTTCAGTGCTATGGTCTGTCTGAAATGATGCCAGTTTTGTCTTTTTAGATACTGGAGTTGTGATCCTGGGTGACAGGGATTCTGGGTCCATTCTGGGCTAGGGGAATGAAGGTTTGATGGGCTGCTGATAGTACAGGGTTATTATGCAGAGGGATTTGCTTTCTGAGGGTCCAAGATGGTACAGTGAACAGGGTAGCCTTGTGTCTTGGTCCAGCTGACACTTGTGAATGGGCTCTGTGATGCTTGGGTAGAAGAGAAAGACCAAATACGATGGACTCTCCATCAGTTACTCAAATGTTCAAATCATGGAGTGATGCCTCCTGTTGTAGGATCTCAAAGGAGGGATCCTTTCTATCTACCAGAGGTTACCAGGACTAGTTCTTTTAATGCCTGCTAAACTCACTGGGCTTTTTTTTTTTTTTTTTTTTTTTTTGAGATGGAGTTTCACTCTGTCGCCCAGGCTAGAGTGCAGTGGCATGATCTGGGCTCATTGCAACCTCTACCTCCTAGGTTCAAGCGATTCTCATGCCTCAGCCACCTGAGTAGCTGGGATTACAGGTGACCGCCACCACACCTAGCTAATTTTTGTATTTTTAGTAGAGAAAGGGTTTCACCATGTTAGCCTGGCTGGTCTCCAACTTCTGACCTCAGGTGATCCACCTGCCTCCGCCTCCCAAAGTGCTAGGATTACAGGGATGAGCCTCACTGGGCCTTATATGGCTATCTCCATCTAAAATGTAAATGCATCACTTAGCCCCTCTCTCCTTTTTTAACTAACCTTCCTTCCTTCCTTCCTTCCTTCCTTCCTTCCTTCCTTCCTTCCTTCCTTCCTTCCTTTCCTCCCTCCCTCCCTCCCTCCCTCCCTCCCTCCCTCCCTCCCTCCCTCCCTCCCTCCTTCCCTCCTTCCTTCCTTCCTTCCTTCCTTTTTGAGACAGTGTCTTGTTCTGTTGCCCAGGCTGGAGTGTAGTGGCCCAATCTTGGCTCACTGCAACCCCCACCTCCCGGGTTCAAGCAATTCTCTTGCCTCAGCCTCCTGGGTAGCTGGGACTACAGGTGCATATACCACCACGCCTGGCTAATTTTTATATTTTTAGTAGAGATGGGGTTTCACCATGTTGGCCAGGATGGTCTTGATTTCCTGACCTTGTGATCCACCCGCCACCCGCCTTTTTAACTTTCATCTGCAAATTGCTTGGGCTGTTGCTCTTCTGACTCAGCCTCCAACTTCTGTGCGTCTCCCAAAACTTAATACCTGATTCAAGCCTCATCGTGTGGCTAACACGTCTTCCCACATCCTCAATCTCTTCTCTGAACTCTTCATCTACTTCCTGCCCTCTTAGGTCACTTAGACATCCTCTGAAGTTTTCAAAATAGAGAAGGCTTTTCCTCCATCACCTTTTACAAACCAAGCTCTGCTCCTTTGAGGCTCATGCCATTCTTTTTGTTCATTCGATACATATTTGAGGGCCTACTATGAGCCAGGCCCTGCTCTAGGAACTTGAAATGAATAAATTAGCCAAAAACCCTGCCCTCACTGGATTCTTCCCAGTGAGTTCCTACTGTATTACAAAATAAATGCTGTGGAAGGAGGAAAAAGGAGAACCGGTAGGGGAGGGGTGTTTGGGAACATTGGCCATGAGGAAGAGGATTTGCTATGCCTCGTTGAGAACTTGACATTTGAGCAGACTGAAAGGAGGTGAGGGAGTTAGTGGGTGAATATCTGGAGAAGAGTGTCTCAGGGAGGGACCAGCCGAGGCCAGAACGCCCAGGCCTG